GGAACTCTTGTGGGTCACTCTTGTAGGGAACTCTTGTGGGACACTCTTACGGGACACTCTTGTGGGACACTCTTGTGGGACACTCTTGCGGGTCGCTCTTGTTGGACACTCTTGTGGGGCCACTGTCCTGGGACACTCTTTCGGGACACCCTTGTAGGAAACTCTTACAGGACACTCTTGTGGGGCACTCTTGTTGCGGTACACTCTTACGGGACTCTTGTGGGGCACTCTTCTTAGGACACTCTTGCGGGACACTCTTGTCGCTCACCAGCGACCTGCCGTGTTTACCGTTCAAGAACATGTGTGGACATAAATGTTCGCAGGGTGTGGAGAACAAGTGCCTGCGGCGCTGCAAAACCATGGAAACCCAGCGGTATGGAAAACTTCTGTCGCGCACCTGCAGAAACAATCGAAACTCTTGCTATTTTTCGCCCGGTGACCAAAAATTTTGCCGACAAAACGGCCCCCGTTTTGGGGTCCCCAAAATGGAGGCCACTCATTCAGTCTCAATTTGATTTGCTTGTGTCCGGACGACTTGGCCCCCGTTTTGAGGTCCATTTCTGGTCCCCAAAACGGGGGCCGTATTGTCGGCCAAATTTTTGCTGCCGGGCGAAAAATACTGCAAGTTTCGATTGTTTCTGCAGATAATTCAAGTTTGCAGGACCACTATGCCGACTTGCTTTTGGATACTAGTGGTCTCCAGTCCGACCTGCTTCCGGTGGAAGCGAGGCCCCGTGGGCCATTTTTTTGGGCAAGTGCCACAAAGAAGTGGACAATTATCGATTGGAAAGTTAACGTGTCAAAACCTGCGCCAATACACGGTGAACACCAATCTCCGGCCCAATGGCCACACACGCGCATATTCCCCGGGAAAACAAAACTGGTTGTCCAACCGAGGTCCTCTACCCAAACCTACAACCAAGAACCAAAAAACATCCAACAGACTTACACAAAGCCAACCTTTTCACGTTCACCCAAACCAACAAACGACAAGCAACCGACCAACCAAAACACTGGGCGTTGTTGTCACCATGCCAGAACAACCGGGTCGCGACGCAAGCGAAAATCTTGTCCATTGGCGGCCCCAAAATCAAGGACCAAAAACGCAATGGATTCCGGGGTCGCCAAAGTGGGCCTCCCCACTTCAAGTTCAAAATTTCAAGTTCAACTGGGGAGGCCCTCCATGGCGAGACCGGTTTTGCTAGGGTTTTTGGGCCCCCAAAATGAAGGCCACAAATTCCGCCAAAAACGCAATTCATCTTTGGACAATGGCCAAGCCCGCGCCCAAGCATTTGTTAAGAATGGTTGAGCGCGAAGTACACTTGGAACGCCTTGGCGCAAGTGTGGAGCGCCCCGTTTGAAGAAGCGCCGGGACTACAATGTTAAGGTTGCGTTTCGTGGCTTTCTGTTGGTCTTTGTGTAGTTCCTCAGTCCGATCAAATTAAAACTTTGTAAAATGCAAACGGGGCGTTGGCGCCGCGCGTTGTAATAGAGGGCCCGAGCGGTACCGAGGCGGCACGGCGCATTGTAATGGAGGGCCCGAGCGGTACCGAGGCCTTACCGCGCATTGTAATAGAGGGCCCGAGCGGTACCGAGGTGGTACCGCGCACTGTAATAGACGGTCCAGACCCAACACAGAGCTTGATTGTAACCGCAAAAAGCCTATATAGCGCGTTGCAAGGGAAAATTTGAACGTTGACGCTAAGATGGCACCGGGAACCGGGTGGAAGCCTGGCGTAGCTTGCAACAAACATCAAGGGCGCGAGCTCAAAACCTCAAAAATATCTTTTCAAAAACCCCATCCTTCACAACATGCATCAAACAACGACGTCAAATAAAACAAAACAAGGTTTCCTTGCCATAGTGAACGACCAGAGATGGCTCCTGTAAACATACGCAAACATGACAGGCTCCACGGCGCCAAACCTTCGCTTAACATCTCCCCACCCTTCTTTCCTCTCACCCAAAATTAAGACAGACCGCAAAATACGAAGAATGGGTTCACAACGTTTGGTCTCAGGGCGCTAGGTCGACTCACGGCGGATGTCCACCACAAGCGTTGTAGCAAACAAACATGCACCAATCCGTAAGCTTGATTGCTTTCGCTCACGAACATCATACAGGCCAAACGCTTTCTCCCCAGCAATTCTCAACCCTCATAGGTTTTCCAAACTTTTTGCTCCTTCAATCATCGAAAAAAGTGATTTTTCTGGACACCAGTCCAAAAACTCTAGCAAAAAACCGGTCTCGCCACACAGGGCCTTCCCAGTCAAGAACATGTGTGGACACAAATGTTCGCAGGGTGTGGAGAACAAGTGCGGCGCTGCAAAACCATGAAAACCCAGCGGTGTGGAAAACTTCTGTCGCGCACCTGCAGAAACAATCGAAACTCTTGCTATTTTTCGCCCGGTGACCAAAAATTTTGCCGACAAAAGGGCCCCCGTTTTGGGGTCCAGAAACGGACCCCAAAATGGAGGCCACTCCTTAAGTCTCACTTTGTTTTGCTTGTGTCCGGACGACTTGGCCCCCGTTTTAAGGTCCATTTCTGGTCCCCGAAACGGGGGCCATATTGTCGGCAAAATTTTTGCTGCCGGACAGAAAAACACTGCAACTTTCGATTCTTTCTGCAGGTATGCGAAGTTTTGCATACCGCTGGGCCACTGGGTTTCCATGGCTTCACAGCGCCGCGAGCAATTGTTCTCGACGCCCTGCAAACGTTTATGCCCACACATGTTCTTGAACTGGAGAGGCCCACTTTGGCGACCCTGGAATCCACTGCGTTTTTGGCGCTTGGTTTGGGGCCGTCAACGGACAAAATTTTCGCACGCGTCGTGATCCGCTTGGCCGCTTCACATTGTTCCTGATCAGTCAGCTGGTCTCTGGCAGCTGGGCGGCGCTGACGCAGGGCCGCGCAGGACCAGCTGGAGTGGAAACTGCAGGGAGAGAGCACGGTGGAAGGGTAGAATTGTTTATACTGTTCAAGTTCAAAATTTCAAGTTCAACTGGGGAGGCCCTCATTCATCTTTGGATATGTCAATGGCCAAAGCATTTATTAAGAATGGTTGAGCGCGAAGCACTTGAATTTTTTTGCACGGGTACGGGCGCTATGTGCGCCGAGAGGCACAAGTCACCTTGATTGAATTCAATGAGATAGCTGAAAAGATACGAGCCAAAAAACAAACAAAGCACAACAACAAAACACCAAAAGACCATCAGGTAGCTAACTTCCTGTTTATTGGGCAGTGAGTACAATTGCAACGATTTCGGTGGAGGCAATTCAGTCAACGGTGAGCTCAAATGTATGCAGGTGTGAGGAGCATTTCAATCCAAGCTCGGAGCAGAGTCATAACTTGTATCAAAGAGCACGACTCAGCCTATGACAGATTTGGTTTGCTCCTTGCCGGCCAACTCTGTCGAGAAAAAGGCTTCTGTTTCCGGTGCTTGTGCCATACTATGCCTGTGAAGGGGGGCTGCCTACCCAGGACAGGTGCTAAGGCACCCGTCGTGGTTCCTTAACGCACTGCCTTGGGGTTAGGGGAATTCCGTATGAATCTCCTCGTCAAAGACGTCCGAATCTGGTCCTTCTGTGGGAAGCAGCTCCACCCAAGGTGGTTTTTCAAAATTGTCGCACATCAGAAACGCGTTATGTTCTGCCTGTACGATTCGGTCGATCTCCCCCCAGTCAAGGGGTGTGAAGCATCTTAATTGCTCGCACCCACAAAAGGCCCGAATGCCTATATCATGGAGCTCGGTCGGAATGACCACTTCTCGGAGCGCTATGCAGTTAAGGAACACTTCTTTGCCAATTTGCGTTAGTCGTGGCGGCAGCCAAATGTGTGTCATGGCCACACATTGGGCGAAGGTGGCGTGGAGTAGGGCTGTGATCTCTGTGCACATGAGATTGACTTCCACAAGTCGCTTGCAGTTTTCACAAGCCCACGGTCCGATGTTGTGAAAGTCGCTTGGGAGACAGAGGTTTTCAATGCCTGCGCTGCAAATTGCACCTTCAGGCAGCGCTCTAGACTTGTGGGTTTGGTCCATTGCAAAGGTGATGGATGTAAGCGTGAGACAGCTCTCGAAAGCATATCGGCCCAGCTGCGCCCCTGGTGCAAGAACATTGCTGTCGTCTGGCGACACCGACTCTGCTGAGGGAGCAGCACTCCGCAAACACCCTTCGACTGTACTGGACGCAGCCCGGGGCCACAACCTCCCGAAGGACACAGCAGCCTTGGAAAGCTCCATCTTCTAAGCTTAGGACTGAGGGGGGGAAGCTTGACGATCTG